ATTGCAGTTTCAGTTACTTCCGTATTTGCTTTACGAGGGAGAGCGGGGGTTGCCGCTTGGTTTTACATGTGTAATTAGTTTAAATCAAGGATCAAAGGCATACAAGTGATTGTTGTAACAAATGCATCTCAAACAATGTTGTTTAAACTGACATAACTGAGTAAATGACACTCAATGACAGTCATAAGCATGCATAAAATCTCATTCATATTAATAGTGTGTCATGTGATGATCATAAAAGTGTCATGATGAGTTTAGTAAAGTGTTTCTATGATTATCAGTTTCTGAAAATTGACCATTATGACTGATTCTGTCATCCAGGCTCACTTTTGGAGATCATCAGCTTCTGCAGCAACTTCTGTCCATGGCTGGAAGAGGACTGGACGATGCTTTCAGATGACAGTACAACACCTTATGAGTCCTCTCCCGATAACAGTGTGGAGGAAAACACAACCGGTGAGACTGTGTGCAACCACAAAAAAAGAAATGAAAGACATTTAGCTGCTCTTAGTACGAGTATTTTCAGAAAATCAGCAGCTCAAAAGTCCCTGACAGAGGGAAAAATCTATTTTAAAATGGTTCACTGAAAATCATCAGATAAACAAGATGATATGATAGTTTTAATGCACTTACTTTAGACACAAAGCAACTATTCTCATAGGCCTATGACTCAAACATAATTTTATACTCCTTAAAGGACCCGTGAAATTAAAATAATAAGTGTCTAAAATAACTTGTCTGAAGTTATTGCTGACGGGATCGTCATAGCAGCGTCAGCCAATAAAATTAGTCGACTACTCTCTGAGCTGGGGTATTTGCAAAAAGCAATCTGATTGGCTGACGCTTTCGTTAACACATGAAAAGTTGAGAGGTTCCCAACTTCTACAGCGAGCACCTTCACTGAAGCGGTGCCAATGGATCCACATTGCAATGACGTCACCCATTCAAAGTGAATGGGAAGCGTTGACGTTGACGCCCTGTGTGAATGTCTCTATAAGCTAGTGTGGTACAAAACAGTAACAAAATTCACATTTAAAAGATATAAGCATGTAAAGCTTGCACTTCAGCCTAAACCAATTAAATATTTTGACCAATCAAATGCTCTCTAATATGTTATGCCCCGCCCTCTTTTCCTTATTGGCTTTTCATTTGATGTGCTTGAGCTCAATCACTCTCACTGGCAGAACTGTGAGAAGAACTAAAGGCTATTGGCTGTTTTTTAAGGAGAGGGGCTATTCTTTGCCCCGCCCTCGCTTAATGTTTCAGTTGAGATTATATATATGTTGTTATATATATATATATATATATATATATATATATATATATATATATATATATATATATATATATATATATATATATATATATTATATATGAAACATTAAACAATAAATGCACATCTCAAAGCCCTTAATAAGTACTTAATAATGCTTTTTATTTTATGATTGCTCCACATTTATATATGATGGGGTATTTGAAGTTGTTTGTGATTTTGATCACACAGCACCACAGTTTAGTCTAACCCACAAATTCACTGGTATTCAGGAGTTTATGAAGGAGCTACATTAGACCATAGGGGTCCCGCTTTAGGAAAATTCAGTCTATATCTAAATCATTATTCATATTTTACATTTATAAATTCTTAAAAGCCTGTACTATCTTGTTTCTAATATTTTCTTTGTTGTTTTTCTTCATTTAAGAAATTCAATCACAAGGAAGCAGGAGGAACAAAATCCGTGCTTTCTTCAGGAGGGTGTGGAAGGTCATGAAGAAGCCTTTCCTCCGCAGAAGACGGATAAAAGTGGAGCCTGATTCTGGTCCAGATCGAGAGCCAAATCCAGATCGAGAGCCAAATCCTGATTCAGACCACAATCTAGATCATGTGCTAGGTCCAGATCGAGAGCCAGCTCCAGATCGAGAGCCAGATCTAGATCAAGAGCCTGATCCAGATCGAGAGCCAGATTCAGATCGAGAGCCAGATTCAGATCGAGAGCCTGATCCAGATCGAGAGCCTGATCCAGATCGAGAGCCTGATCCATATCAAGTGCCTGAACCAGAGCACAAGCCAGATCATGAGCTGGATCCAGATCAAGAGCCAGGTCCAGATCAAGAGCCAGATCCAGGTGAAGATCCAGATCGAGAGCCAGATCCAGGTGAAGATCCAGATCCGGGTGAAGATCCAGATCAAGAGCCAGATCCGGGTGAAGATCCAGATCAGGAGCCAGACCCGGGTGAAGAGCCAGATCCAGATCGAGACCCAGATCGAGAGCCAGATCCGGATAAAGAGCCAGATCAGGATAAAGAGCCAGATCCGGATGAAGAGCCAGATCAGGATGAAGAGCCAGATCAGGATGAAGAGCCTGTCCCTGGACCATCCGGTATTCAGAACACTACTAAACCTCATCCAGATCCAGAGCCTGTCCCTGGACCGTCTGGGCTCCAGTTCTCAGCGTCAGGAGCCAATAATAACAGTCGTCAGTACTATTATAAATATGCTAATTAATATATATTTGTTAATATAAGATAATATCAGCATGATAGACCTGAAAACACCTTAACAACCTCTTCTTTTTTCAGGATGTTTAGAAAGTTTCTACAAACTGGGAGCTGTTCTAGGAAGCGGGGTCTACGGCACAGTGCACAAAGGTGTCCGTAAATCTGATTGCATGGAGGTAAAACTCTCTTACTATACACGTGTGTCTGTGTTGATTAAATAAATTAGAGACTGAAGAATATGTGGGAAAATAATTATAATTGTATTTTCTCTTTGCAGGTTGCCATCAAACGGATTCAGAAGAGAAAAGGTTACTGTAACACCTTTACGGTAAGTTGAAAAAATCACTGAATATTTAATTCTTTAACTGTACGTTCACACCGAAAGCAGCGAGAGTGTCAAAGTAGCCGGAAGTCATTCATTTTCAATGGGAGCTGGTGGTGATAACCAGGGCCGGACAGAATCTGCGGACATTTTTTGCTATTTCTGTGGAGAATTTTGTGAAAAATCTGCGTATTTATGCGGAATTATTTTGAGTATCGTAACTAAAAACCTAATATTAAAAATAATTTCTTTTTAACTTTTACTTAATGTTTGCAATGCAAATCCATCTAGATCCACTTATTTGGTAAACAAACCAAGTCTCTTATACATCTACTGAAAGACAGAGAATATTACTTTACAAACTGTACTGTAAATAAATCAAATGAATACTTTTATATTAGTCAATATTATTATTACTGCAGTAAAAGTTGACAAATTAAGAATGAAACATGCGAAATTACATGAAACTCCAGAGGAAATGTGGATAGTGCGGTGTCGAATTATGTGCAATAATATGTAAAATAAGATCATGAAATGTATCACTCATGTAAACACTTTCATATTATTGTCTTATTCACATTAAGGCAAGTTATTTGATCACTGATGTCCATGTAAACGTAGTCACTGTCTGCTTGCTCTGCATCTGTGTTAGCAGTGTGAAAATCAGCTGTAGTTCACTTATGCCGAGTTCAGACTGCATGATTTTCAAAGTCATCGTGTCACAGATGTTTTCACACTGCATGACTATCTGGGCGTGCGTTTCGTCGCTGTTTTGTTTACACTGCAAGATGGATCGGCGACAGGGGCTTTCACATTGCATGACTTTACAATAGGAAGAATCGCCGACAACTTCGTCCAAACTACGTCTCACAGCCAAAAACACGTCGTATATCTTTTGTTATTCACTACATGATGAGAAAGAAGTCTTTAATGGGGTAGAAAATGAACATATTTGCTCACCTGGGTTTGAAGGGAATTAGCAATTTCTCCTCAACTTTTGTTTTTAACTTTTGTAAGAAATGACAAACAGACACGGGCGCTCCTGTCTAACCTCCACTAGTTTTTTCTCCGTTTCTTAGGTCCAAAAAAAAACAAAAATGAGCGCTTTTACCTTCTCCCTCAACCTCCCGCTGGCCTGCAGGCACACACACAAACACAAGTGAATGCTGCTCTCTCATTGGCTGATCGCTGATGTTATTATCAGTCAAAACTCATTTCACACAGCATGATTTGAATCGCCGACAGCTCCAGATATTCAGCACTCCAAATATCTCACAGGCATCAGCGACTCATCAGGGATTCTCTCAGATTGTGTCTTTGATAGTTCACACTGTGTGATTGTCACTCAAGTGCACGAGGACCGACTTGCCTGTGATTTCAGGCATTTGTCGGCGATTTCTCAAAACCTGCCGGCGAGTCAAAAATGGGGCTAAAATCATGCAGTCTGAACTCGGCATTAATGAAACTCCCCTTTTCATTCAAAACCATCCCTCTTTAACCATTTGACACTCCCACCTAACACTCACCCAATTTTGTTCAAATTAGAGGTGTGAAAACACCCTGCAGAGCAGGGGGGTTTAGTGGCCCTTTAAGGCCCCGTTTAAAACGCATAAGTTTTGCTACGGTTACGCCATCCGTCCACACTACGCCAGAGTTCTCGAGTGCTGAAAACGGAGCGTTTTGAAAACGCTGGAGAGGCTGTTTTCATTCTGAAGCGCGGCTGCTCCATCTCAGTGTGGATGAAGGAAAACGGAGACATCTGAAAACGGAGGTGGGGCTGCTGAGATTCGCTACCTGATTGGGGCTTTTGTGTCATTGCGTTTCCTTCCTTTATTTGTCAAGCCCCTATCACATGACTATAACACATGGCTTTAACGCTACCGGAAGACAGCAGACCAGCCTTCACTGTAAACAACAACATGGACACAGAAATGGGAGCGTTGTTTGCACTATTGTCTATTTTAGGCGCCATTGTGCAGTTATTCATTTGTTACGTTTAGTAACAACTCGACCTCGTCGTCTGTCCACAAAAATACCTCTCTTGCTTTCTTTGGCATCGCGTTCATTGTTCAACCGGCGTTTGTTGACTTACAATAACCAAATGCAGAGCAAGACACATGCTTCCAATTAATACTAGAACGCGCATGCCCAGAGTGCGCGAATGGTCACGAGTTGTACGTTTTTGGTGGCGTAGTGTGGACGGAGATATGTTCAGAAACGCTAGTTGATACGCTAGTGTGGACACGGACGCCGTTTTAAACTAAAACACAGTGTAAACGGGGCCTTAGTGGCTCTTTAAGTGCATGAACTTTTTCAGAAAATCTGAAAACATTTTCTGCATGAGCTAATCCTTTAAATGAAATCTTCCTTCAGATCTGCATCAACTAACCCTTGTGTTTTTTTTCTTTTTAGCTTGCTTCAACTGCCGAACCGATGTTAAAAGAAGTGGCGTATATGCTCAGGCTTCAGCGTCCGCCATTGTGCAAAAACGTGATCCAAATGTACGAGTGGTTTGAAGAACCTGGAAGCTATTCATTGGTCATGGAGTACCCCAAGCCTTGTGAATCCCTGTGGGACTTTGTAAGCAAGCAGGATAAGCTGACCGAGCCTGTGGCACGTGGCCTCGTGCGTCAGATAGTCCTGGCAGTCCAGCATTGCATTGACAAAGGCGTTGCGCACAATGACCTGCATGGCAACAACATCCTGGTCAACACAAGGACGAGGCAGATCAAGCTGATCGACTTCGGCCGCGCTTACAAAGTGGAAAGTGGAAACTACAAAAAAGCCGTCTTCACCAGTACAAGGGCTATAGGCTACCTGCTGTGTTACATGGTGACCGGAGACTTGCCAAATGACTTCGATAATGCCAAGCGCAGGATTTTGCTCACGCCCGGCTTAACCAATGGTGAGTAAACAGACTCTATCTGTGTTTTATAAACAGATTTTAACTTTATTTTTTAAGTTAAACCTACATTTTTATGCACATTTTGAAGATTTATGCACATCTTGGCAAATACTGCACTATTAAGGGTATAGGGGGCGGTTGAGAATACAGCCATTGGTGGTATTTCAGGAGGTATCTTGATGAATGTCAGCTTTAGTGTATATTATACAGCCTTAAAGTAAGATGTAGTCTTATAAGCAGTGCATTAACCCTCTTTCCCCTTGTACAGACTGCTGTAAACTGATCAAAAAGTCTCTGAGCCAAACGATGACACTTAAACAGTTCTTACAATATAACTGGATGAAGTGACACTGGATGAAGACGAGACGCGATACAGATGAAGGTAAATACAGCTCAGCCTGAAGGAAACTACAGTTATTGGGTTTTAGATCTCACTCTGATGTCAAAACGACGAAAGTATTACATAACAGAAAGTATTAACTGAAATGTTTTATTCATCGTAAAGCTTCAATTACAAATTTACGCTGGATTTTGGATCTCTACAATGCATGTAAACTAGCTTGACAGCAAAACAACATCAAATTGAAGTCTAACATTGGCATTAAAAACATGTCTAGTTAATTAATTGATTTGCATTTTAGCATGTTTTTGATGTAGTTTTGACATCAAGGTCCCCCTGGGATGCTTCTCATTTTATATATATATTTATATTCAAGTATGCGTTAGACAAACACCAGACATGTTTTTAACATTGTTTCTTTTGTTTTTCCTCAGTATAGACTTCACACTTTAAATGCAAAAGGGTTTTCTATAAAAAAAACCTCATAAAAACCAACACAAACTGCAAATGGAAAAAAGAAGAACTCGCATCTAACTGATCCAGAACCAGGACCTGATGAAAAGTTTGTCCTGGGACCCAAACACTGCATCGTCATCAATCCCAGGAAAATGCCTCTTCTGTGCAGTTAGAAATGGAAACCTGTGGTGGACTCTGAGGATGCATTTCGAGGAGGACATGTTGTTTTCCTAGAGGATGATAATGATGATAATGAAACACCAGCACTAGTACAATGCATTGGATCAGGTTTATATGATAAGCAGAAGGTTTTAAATACAAATTGTTAGACATTCCTAGGCTAAAACAATGTGTATTTTTTTTAATTGGCGAAAAAAATCCACTGAACACAAATAAAAATATTTTAAGGTGAAATCGGAGAGCTCCCTCATCCTCCATAGACAGCAACAGCCCCAAGTTGCTCAGAAACAAAGTCCAGAAACTACCAGAAAAACAATCTGGCATTTTTCAGGACTTTAAGGATGAGGGAGCTCTCAGAACTAGCGATATAAGAAATGAGCTAGGAGGAGTAGGGGGTGGTGGAGGGTCTTTTTCTTTCTCAGTTTGTGTTGTGGATGGAAGTGTACATTACTAACACTGACCCTTAAAGTAATTGTAGATTTCTAATGATTTTTGGACAGTCCTAGGCTGAAATGAGCATGCTTTTTTTTTTAATGGGCGAAAACATCCCCTAAAAACACAAACAAAAATATTTTTAGGTGAAATCGGAGAGCTCCCTCATCCTCCAGAGACAGCAACAGCCCCAAGTTGCTCAGAAACAAAGTCCAGAAACTACCAGAAAAACAATCTGGTATTTTTCTGGACTGCGAGGGTGAGGGAGCTCTCAGAATTACCGATATTAGAAATGAGTTAGGAGGAGTAGGGGGTGGTGGAGGGCCTTTTAATTACAATACATTTGCAGTTTTGGATGAACTGCCTATTTAAGCGATAGAATTAGTGGATTTCAGCATGGTAATAAGGTGCTGTGTGCTTGCTCATTAAATTAAATAATATCAATTTCATAAAAAGTTACTGGAAAGTTAAGAAAACCAAATCCTGTTTCATCATTAGAACATGGAGGAGCTAACAAAAATGATGTACGGGTTTTGCTTCTCTTATAAATCTGACTTAATGCATTGCGACCCAGGCTAAAGTACTGGGGAATTCAGAATGCCGGTGTTCAACTCTTTCAGGGTGGATTTATTTAATCATCATCCTTATAACCTCTGGAGAAACAACACATCCTCTTCAAATGATGTTTCCATCAATATCTTGGAGAATCAGCATTAAAGAGTTTCTTCTGTTTAAAAGTTTTTTTCTGAATAAATTGAAGGGATGATACAACATTCTTGCCTAAAAAGCCTGAAAAGTACATTTTGTTGCAATACTTTTCAAACTGTAGAGTGTCCTCTGCTTGTTGCTGTATGTGGGCGGAGTAATACACAAGGGTGAATGGTGAAGAGGCGGTACCAGTGCTGTTACTGGTAGTATATGGCACGGCTATCAGCCAATCAGATTCAACAGCCAGACAGGACTGTTGTGTGTGTGTGTATGTATATATATATATATATATATATATATATATATATATATATATATATATATATATATATATATATATATATATATATAAAAGTATGTATAGGTTTAATTGTGAACTATAAAAAGGTAAATAAAAGGTAAATTATTTTGTACACTGTTTTGAACAAAATTAAAATAAAATAAACACTTGGAATTAAAATACTACACTGTGTGACCTTTTAAAACAAAATAAAGAAATCTGTAAACGGTGATTAAAAATACTTTGTAGTCCTAAATGTAATCAATCAAGGAAAATTAATCATTAATAAATAACTCAATACAACTCAAAATACAGGGTAGAATTCAATATTTACACATTATACTCAATAAATCGTTATACTGTTCAAGTGAATTGCTTCAGTATTCGAATGAATTGTTACGCTGTTCAAAAAATCGTTACACTGTTCAAAGGATCGTTGCACTGTTCAAATGAATATATTTGCGGTTCAAATGAATATATTTCCTGTTCAAATGAATCATCTCACTGTTCAAATGAATATGTTTCATGTTCAAATGAATCATCTCACTGTTCAAATGAATATATATGCTGTTCAAATGAATCATTTTGCTGTTCAAATTAATATATTTGCTGTTCAAATTAGAGATGCGCGGATGGGCTATTATTTCATCCGCAACCGCATGACGAAATTCATCATCCGTCCGCCATCCATCCGCACTAACATTTTTGACCAATTTTTAAAACCGCACCCGCCCGCCATCTGCTGACTGAACTCTTTATTTGAATGGCTTATTCCTTTTTTTTATTAAAAGAATGTTTCTTTATTAATCATTTTATAATAGAGAATGACTTTAATGTAGACATGCAGTTAATCCAAACGTGCAAGTCATTAATTGACGATGCTTTGAAGTTACGCTAAAGATACGAGGACGTGTCTTTTCACTTGATTCGATTCCTCGGTCCTTCAGTCTTTTCCTTGCGTCCTTCCCTCGTAAAGTTATCCCGGTGGGGTGGAAACACGAGGAAAGAAAGCAAGGAAAGGAAACGAGGATGCACAAATAAGAAATGAGAAGCACCCGAGCTCTCAGAATATCAGCAGTGAACTCTGTCTCCAATCGGCGCACAGGGACAAAAATAAATAAATAGCCTAAATTAAACGCACTGTACTATACAACTTTTTTTTTGTAGCCTAATAGAAAACGCATTGACACATCCCAGCCGGCATTTCAACGGTGATTCAACGTTGAATCAACGTCAGGTCTATGGTTGGATCAACGTTGAATTACCTTTCGATTTTGCAAATTGGATCAACGTTTATATAGTGACGTTGTTTCACCGTTGGACCACCACCGGTGATTCACCGTTGAAATCACAACGTTGTTTCACTCTTACCTTTTTCATGGGTGAATTATGGTCGTTTTGTAGACGTTGAATGAAGGTTGAATTACCTTTCGATTTTGCAAATTGGATCAACGTTGATACCGTGACGTTGTTTCACCGTCATACATTTCAACGTAAGTTAAATAGGCATTACATACAACGCAAAGTCCATAAATATAGCAAACAAATTTTTACTAATTAAAAATACACGACACAAATACACAACTTAGCCTGTGTATCAATTCATTTAATACACACCTCATTATTTTAATTATTCTAAATACAGCAACATTTACAGCATACATAGTTCATTAAAACCATGCAGGTTACTATACATGCTGTACACTCAAATACAGAAAAAGGCATACAATTAAATAGTCACTTTTTAATTAGGTTTCATGAATTAAAGTTAGTTAATGTTTACTAACATGAACAAAGAACAAATACTTGTACAGCATTTATTAATCATTTAATTAATTGAAATATGTCCCGATGCTATTAAAATCAAAATGCATGCTTGTTAACATTAATGCACTGAGCTGACATGAACTGTACTTTCTTTATATGAAAGATGCTTCATTGTTCTGTTCATGTTAGTAAATACATTAACACCTACTAATACAACCTTATTGTAAAGTGTTACCGTCTTCAGAAAGACAGATACTAACTAAATTAAACTAAGTAACTAAACTACGCTTCAACCATCACAGTCTCCAAAAATACAATTCCGTTTACAAAGTTTGCAAAATACCCATTTTTAGTGGCTGCAGTAAAAAAATAAAAATAAAAAACATCACTCACAACTAAGAATCACAAGTGAAATACATTACATCTGTTTGAGATTTTATAGGTTGAGAGAAACACTTGAGGTAAAAGATGGCACTGGGACAAAGAATCAACACTAAAACATCTATATCAGTCTAGCAGTTAAATACATATTTATTTCTCAAACACCAGGTGAGTTTCCTACAAAATCAATAATGAGGTTTGCTATTCCAATTCATTGTGAATGAATGGCTTCACTTTCACAATAGTGAAAACTCATGCTATAATCTAAACCTGACATTACTCCTTCACTTTGCAGGTCTGCATGCTAAATATTTATTTATTTTTTTGGGGGCGGGGGGGGGGGGGGGGGGTTCATAAAGTACATCTATTGTGTTTAGCATTACTGCAACAAAACTGAGCACCTGTGACAGTGGAACATGTAGACAAATATTTCAGTAAATCATCAAGAAAATGTGTAGAATATATGGTTTGATTCTCTCTCACAAACACAACAGTAAAAGCAATTTGTTATTCCATTATTATTAGTATCATAAAAATTGCATGTTCACATGGGTCTTATAATAATGGCTCACATTTGTGAATGTAGGACCACTATTTCACTATTACATGTCACATTAACTGTTCATATAGGTTCTGTTATTAAGTACTTGTGTCATCCCAGAGACCTGTTAATCTTCAGAACACAAACTAAAATATTTTAGATTAAATGCCTCATCCTCTACAGACAGCAATGGTCCCAAGATGGTCATTGTCAAGATAAGGCACAAAACACATTGTCAAAACGTTCCATGTGACTTCAGTGATTTCCACTGAACATACCAAGCTCCAACAACACTTTAGTGAGGCAAAACAAAACAGTAAATACAAATGTGTTTGCATATATCTCTCCCGCATCAGATCAGCATGTGTGTTTATTACGAGCAGTAAGCACACACCATGACCTGTTGTGGCAAAGGCAAACAAGTTATTTTTACAGTACTTTCTGTGATTTAACCTTTATGACAAATGTACTGGACCTGTTACACATATCTTTTATGAACACAAATTTCACTGTAACGGATGCTGTTGTTTTGCTCCAGTTATACCTTTAGAGAACACCGTACTAGTCAGACATCCATACAAAAGCAGAGAGTTTGGTCTTGTGTAGCAGAACTGCAATAGATGTCTGTCTGTCTGTCTAGGCTGACACTGGTTTAGGCCATCAGTAGGTCCTTGATGCCCTCAAATGGAGCTTCCAGAAAACCTGCAATAAATGAAATATGAGGTTACAACTAAGTTGGTATCAGCTATTATACAAAGTGAAATTCAAATATTTATTTTTTATTGAATCCAAATTTGTCCTATAATATCGCCACACTCAATAATTTTGACTCATCCATCTGAATATTCCTAACTAAGAGAAGTGAAGAATTAGGTGTGATGTCGTCAGGAAGCCCTTCGCCACCACCGGTGCCAGCATTTCCAGAATTCAAATTTCAGATTCTCGAAAAAATTGCTTTTTTTTTTTTTAACAAAGGCTGCAGTAAAGAATCATGAAACATTCAACACATCTAATAATTACAAGTTGTTGTAAACCATTACATGTACTGTAAAAGCTGTTTAAAGCTTTTTAGACATATGGTTGAGAAAAACTCTAGAAGGAGTAGCACTTCTGCAAAAGTCTGCATGTAGGACAGAGAATTAAAAGGATAGTTCAAAATTTGTATTCTGTTGTCATTTACTGACCACGTTGAACACAAAAGAAGATATTTTGAAGAAAGCTGCAAATCTATAACCATTGACTTCTATAGTATTTTTTTCTACTATGGTGGTCAATGTTTACAGGTTTTTAGTTTTTTTTTTTTTTCAGAATAGCCTCTTTTTTTTTGTTAAACAAAATAAACTCATAATGGTTTTAAACCATTTGGGGAGTAAAATGTGAGTAAATTTTCATTCTTGGGTGAACTATCCCTTTCAGTTGGAAAACACCAGAATTCTTAAGTAGACCCTTTTCGCAAGACAGATGATGCATTTCATTTCTCATCTTAATCCTCAAGTTTTTAATATTTAGATTTATTTAAATAGCATGTTTATTTATTTGTTTTAATGACATTTAATAAAAACAACTTCTCAATGACATCACATGTACTGGACCTGCTACACATGTATCACTATTTTTATGAATACAAATTTCACTGTAACGGGTGCTGTTGTTTTGCTCCAGTAATACCTTTAGAGAACACAGTAGTAGTCAGACATCCATACAAAAGCCTTGGTGTGGAGTAGCAGAACGGCAGTCTGTCCAGGCTGACACAGGTTTAGGCCATCTGCTTGTTCTTGATGCCCCTCAACTGGACCTTCCAGAAAACCCAGAAAATTAAAACGCATTACACCTCTTATCTACTACTATACAAAGTGTAATTTAAGCATTAATTTCTAACTAAATATATATTTGTTCCCCAATACGGTCACATAGTATAACATCACAACATGATTTCACAATAATAATATCAATATAACAATATAATATCACAACATAGCCTAACAATCAATAAACAAACAGATTAGAAAGAGAATATCACCAACCAAAGCACCAAGAAGATTTAACAGATAGCTTAGTTAAAGGTAAAGTAAACTTACATGGACAAAGCCTTTTCTATTCAATGATGTGCAAGTTAGTGCGTCTCTGGAGTAAGTTACATCTCTAAAAGCAAAAACAACAACAACAGTGAAACGACAGCAGTTCACTTTGTAATAATAACACTAATGATACAGCGTATGAAAAGGATATTGTTTTATAACGTTGCTCAGTAACTTTAAACTGCGTTTGGAGTTTATCGCTTTGAATTTGGCATAAAAACGCTCATTTAGACTAACGTTAAACATGTGACATTACCTCAAGGTTAGCTGCGCGTCACCGGAGTGCAAACAAGACTAAAAACAAGCTGGAAAGTTTTAAATGCTTCAAAATTCGAAACACTACACCAAGTCACATTTAAGATACACTGTGTGTAAAACAAAATCGGGTGGTAAATAAAACATTAAAGCATCTAAAAACACGCTTACCTCTGAATTCTGCTGCACTGCAGGTCAGGTGTTCGTAATTACGTGAAGTGAAGCGCTGCGCGCGGCCGCGTGCGCCGAGTCCTCCGATTCCATGGTAACCAAACATGTTGAATATTGGGTGAAGCCATGACGTAAATTCAACATACAGATCATGATAAAAAAAATGTCAACGTTGATTTGTACAAGGATTTCTGTAACTTTTTTCAACCATTTATCATTCAACATTGTTTCAACATTAAAGCAACTACTGACGTATTTTCAACCACATTTCAACGTTAAAGCCTTGTCATATGCAGGCTGTTTTTCAACCGTTCTACATTAAACGTTCTATCGACATTATTTCAACGTTCAAAACACATCTGACCTTATTTCAACCATATTTCAACGTTGAAGGTCGGTCGTGTGCCGGCTGGGATCATTTCAACATGCTGCTATTTAGCCTACTAATAAATGCCTATTTCACTTTATTTTTTAGTAAATAGATAGAATAATAAGTCATTTACATTATAGCCTAATAATGTTTACATTTGTAGTTGTCCATAGCAACCCCAAAAACGTACCTGCTTGCCTTGCACATCTAATTAATGGGCACAGTTTTTTGACTATTTTTTATTTATTTATTTTTTGCTGTGGATGTTATTGAGCTTGTAGAAATCGGAAACAACACAGTTCTGCGACACAGATAAACCTTTATTGATATCTCTATCAGACAATACCTATTTTATATGCCAAAAGAAACAACAGGCAGTAAAAAAAATATTAACATAAATATCTTAATGTAGGCATAGGCTATAGTCGCATGCTTTGGCAAACAGTTGAAATTTTTTTAATAAAAACGTCATATCGTGCCTAAACCTTCTAGGCTCAGTCACCCCCACAATTAGAAATTAAATTAGAAAAACAGATATGCCATCCCTCTTTGAGCGAACATAGTCTGACCAGGCTAAAGTGCATGTATGACAAGTGCCCCAATAACCCATAGATTTAGGATTATCCCCATTCCCCTCAAACTTGAAGCATAACGAAATACTACGCCATTAAAGTAGCGACAAAGAAATTCTGGCAAAATAACCTTAGCCTCGGAACGTAAAAGCGAGGCCAACATGTCTAGAATAGAATAGGCTAAACCAATATGAACGTAAAGTTATCAGCTGACCGAACTCAAAAGTTTATATTGAACATATGTGTAGCCTAAATAACATAGGCTAATTGGTTTAATATGCCTGACCTTAGGTCTAGTTCGATTTTTTTCTTGGCACAATGCAGGAATAAAATAGCATCTGTGTCAGGATTCAGACGGGAGCGCCTGCATAGCCACTATAATGCGCCCTGCTGCACTGAAGGAGCGCTCGCTCGCAGCACTTGTTGCTGAAATGCATAGAATTCTCATGGAAAGGTGCTGTAGTCGTGGGAATGCCTGCCTTATTTCTCCCAAAAAGAAAGTAGATTTTGCTCTGAATATCCGTCTATACGGAAGTTTGTAGAGGAATACTTCTGTACACTTCATCCAGAATTAGTGTATCCAATTCCTCCTCCCATTCTGTGAAGTCAGTCCTAGGCTTTTTCGTTGGTGCGCCAGCTATGTATATAAAAACAGTACAACCGCCCGCCACCCGCCCGAATTTAATTAAAATATAATTTTTTCGTAACGTCATCCGCCCGATCCGCGGTTTATCCGCGGAGTCCGCGGCTATAACCGCCAACCGCGCATCTCTAGTTCAAATAAATCATCTCACTGTTCAAAAGAATATGTTTGATGTTCAAATGTATCATTTCGCTGTTCAAATGATTCGTTTCACCACTTTAAAAATTACCACTTTAAATTTTGAAATTTACCCTACCTTCAAATTACCCTAAAACTCTGTTTGAGACTGAAGTGTCCAAACACACATAACTTATATTCGCCTGTTTTGCCAGCTTATCTTAAATGATTAACTCCCGATCCTCGATATATGTGTATATATCTCTGACTCGGATGGCCAGTCCTCATCTGCACATTGGTCCCACAGTGGCATTGGGCATTCGTTTCAAAGGAGCGCTATAGGCGACATCTAATGTAAATATCTACATGTATGCATGAAAGAAAGGAAGGTAGAAAGATATAAATCTATTAACATTTTGGTTAACGCAGATAGTTTTCCCCCAAAAAATGTCATTGATGTTAAACATTATTATTATATGTAAATATTACATACACAAAGGTAAATGGAATAACAGTAAACCCTTGATTAATTGCTTTGTAAAACATTTAGAGTCAAAAATAGTATCCAGAGAAAAGGCTACAGAGGAACTATGCAAAACGATGGCTGAGTCTCTTTCCTTTTAAATTGTATTTATTTATTTATTCATTTATTTATTTATTTATGTATTTTGTGTGTAACCCCCCTAAACGTTTTTTCTATTTAATGTTACACATTAAAATGTGTATTCAGTGTATAATGTAAATGTGATCGGAAGTGTGTATATATTGTTATATTTTTTATTTTTATTCCCCATTTGAGTTTGTAAATTAATAATGTTAATAAAAAATTAAAAAGAAATAAAAATAAAAAATGTCATTAGCGCCATCTGTTGTTTCTAAACAAGCATTACAAAAAAGAATGTATGGCAAAAATAATTAAAAATCCCTAATTATTTGTACATTGTAAATGTTATATTGCTATATTTGTATACTATTTTTTCACCCATATTTCTTTGCTGTTTTTTCGTCATACATAATCATAGACTATTCAACAATTACAAGGCATTACTTTTTCTGAACATTATTTGTTTTAGACCCCTTAATTGTGACTGATCAATCGATATATTGATTAAATTAATAAATGAATTAGATTTTAAAATTGCCATTGAAATAAAAAAGAAAATAACGTGAGAGTAAATAAATGTAGTAGCAAGTAATGTAAGTAGAAACGCTCAATAATGTAGGCTAGATTAATGCAAACGATTACATTTTTAAAAAATCTTTTAATAAGGTTTCACAATAAACTACATAGCCCTAGTCTAATTTGTTTATTATTATCATTATTATTATTATTATTAATATTAATAATAATAATAATATTATTATTACTATTTGTATTATTATTTATTTTAATAATTATTATTATTATTATTTTATTATTACTATTATTATTATTATTATTTTAATTACTATTGTTATTATTATTTATTTTAATTATTATTATTTTAATTATTATTATTACTATTATTATTATTATTTATTTTAATTATTGTTGTTATCATTATTAGTATTATTATTATTATTGTTATTATTACATTCTAGTATAGGGGTCCATGCATCACACAAGTATGATCACGTCCTATACATAGCATCTAAAGTTTGAAATTATTAAAAATCCGAATCTTCGTTTAATAAAAGCAAACGAATACCTCTCATTTTTGCATATTTTAATATGTATCCAGCATATGAAGTCTTAAACGATATAAAAATATATTAAGCTAAATCACACACCATGAAACGCTGTTGTCCACCCAAACACTACATTTCCCAGAAGGCCTCACTGACACAGGAAAAAGCGTCAGCGTATCGCTTGCGCTGCTACGTGTTCGGACAAGGCAGGAAGTTGACATGTCACGATTGCTGCATTGTTTTTTACACCCTCGATAATAAGATATTTACTTTATAAGTTTGCTGATACTGCCGTAGAGCAGGTGAGTGTCATATTTATACACATTCAGCTGGAGTGACGCAGTAACTAACTCGTTTAGCAGGTTATTATGAGGGATTGAGGCCCATGCAACACACACACTGTGATGCTTAGGGGTTTAGCATTTGAGTATCACTTTTCATCACTATATTTCTTGCAGGTTTGCTTTTAATTGGTGTTTGTGAATGTTAGAGCTAATGTAGAATTCCTGTTAGTTGTTTTGTAAAGTCAGACTGTCTGTGAAAAGTAAATAAGAATGATCTAGAATCAGCTCTGCATGTTTACATAGGAGTTCATATTAATAGGAAGTACAACTGATCAGTTCACAGTGTATTGTTGTGAAGCTTAATGCTTGAATATAGTTTATAGCTTATATCAGATAATAGATGTAGACTAGTTATATATCAGAGACAGAAATGCTGTAGAATTTACATAACTTGTGTTGTAACAAACTTGTAATTAAGTAAAATGTAATCCAGCGTAATCTTTTAGTAATAACCACACTGCTCAATATATGTTATTCAATTTATTCCTATTTGGATTCGCAAATTGTCTTTACCTTATATCAGATCTTCAGTTTTTATTATTTATGATGAGCAAATGTGTATGAATGGAAGACCAATGAATTAAAAAGTGAAAAACAGCTTTCATTTTTTCATATTTTGTTTATTGTATATTATTATTATTTTTTTTGTATTGTTTTCACCAAAAATCAATAGCCTAGTGATTGTCCTGTAAATAAAGGTTAAAACCCCTAATAATAATAATAATAATAGTAAAAAAATAAAATTTATGCAGAGAAATCCACAACATGGGAGCAGTACCAGAACACCCAAAGTTTTGAGTTTATAACCACTGAGATGGTAAAGACACTGGAGCAATTCCAACATTATGGATGTGACATTTAAAGTAAAAACTTCACAGAGAAAGTATATGTTAACATTATATTGAAACATGTGTTTATATTTTCAAAAACTACTAACCACAGAGTTATGGATTCAGAAAAATATCATTCTGTAAACACGTTATATTTTAAATGAGGAAAATAAACATGCGTTATGGATGTGACTAGGGTTGTAACAATATACCGGTATGACGGTTTACCACGATTTGAACGTGCACGATTATCATACCATGAACAATTGCATATCAACGGTTTTAACCCTTAAAGACCGAGACAGCCGCCCGCGGCTAAAAATAAGTATTGCTCTTAAATGTTTAATAACTTTTGATCCGCTGATCTGATTCATACAATTCAAAGATTTGCATAAAGAAGAGAATCTCAGCTTTCCAGTGCTGTATCACATAACATTCGCGGATTCGCTTTCAGAGGCTCCGGAATCAGTGCGGTTACATCATCAAAATTTGACAAC